TCATAATTACACTGCCCAGGATTAAAATGAAGGAGAGAATCCTAGAAGCAGCAAGAGCTAAGGGGACAGTCACCTACAGAGGAGTTCCCATCAGACTGTCAGCTGATTTCTCAAAAGAGACCTTACAGGCAAGAAGGGGCTGGAAAGAAGTATTCCAAGTCATGAAAACCAAAGACCTACAACCAAGATTGTTCTATCCAGCAAAGTTTTCATTTAGAATAGAAGGACAGATAAAGTGTTTCTCAGATAAGATCAAATTCAAGGAGTTCATCATCACCAAGCCCTTACTATATGAAATGTTAAAGGGATTTACCTAAGAAAAAGAAGATAAAAAAGATGAACAGTGAAAGACAGCAAACTCACAGTTATTAATAACCACACCTAAAACAAAAGCAAACTAAGAGGACAGCTAGATCAGGGGCAGAACCATAGAAATGAAGAACTCATGGAGGGTTAGCAACAGGGGAGTGGGAGAAGGAGAAGGGGGGAGAAGCTACAGGAAATAAGTAGCATAGATGGTAGGTAGAAAATAGATAGGGGGAGGGCAAGAATAGTAGGGGAAATACAGAATCTAAAGAACTTCCTTGGCTGGCATAGCTCAGTGGATTGAGCGCGGGCCTGCGAACCAGAGTATCGGGGTTCGATTCCCAGTCAGGGCACATGCCTGGGTTGCAAGCCAGTTCCCAGCAGGGGACGCATGAGAGGCAACCATACATTGATGTTTCTCTCCCACTCTTTCTCCTTCCCTTCCCCTATCTCGAAAAATAAATAAATAAAATATTTAAAAAAATAATTGTGATCTATACATAAAAAAAAAACTTGAGACACGTGGTCATAAACTAAAGGGGGAATGGTGGGGGAGGGGGTGTGCATAATCAATAAAAATATAAATATATATACATAAAAAATAAATATATTTTATAAAAATAAAGAAATTTCATTTATTCCCATGGCTTCAGAAACTGTCTCTATATTGGTGACTCTTAAATTTGCATCTCCATCTCAAATTTCTCCTCTAATTTGTTATCCAGCTTTCCCAGACTTAATAGCCAAGTAAGTGCCTGCTTAATATTTCTATTTGCGTGTCTCAGAAAAATTTCAAAGTTAATATGCTTAAAATGGATCTCTTGATTCCCATCTTTCCATTAGTCCCACTCTGGTTCTCTCTCTTATTGCCTTTGTTCATAAATGACACCACCTGCCACTCAGTCACTAAAGCTAGACAACCGGAAATCATCTTATATCACCTACCCACATTCAATCCATCAACAAATTTTATTGGTTCCACCTCTTTTATACATACTGCTCATCTTCCCTCATCTCTCCATTCACTGTCTCTACCTTAATCCAGGCCCCCATCAGCTCTTGCCCAGCTTAATACAATTGCATCCTTGCCTTTAGACCTTCTACACTTGCCTTTCTCCAGTTCACTTTCCATAAAGCAGGTACTATGAATTTTCTTATGAAGTAAATAGGATCCTATCTGCCTAAAATCTTTTTTTTAAAGATTTTATTTATTTATCTATCTATTTATGTATTTAAAAAATTTTTTTAACCTTTTAATTACAGATCAGAGTGTCTGGTCTCCTTCACAGCCAAACCTGGGGGCAGGGACTGCTTCAGCTTCTCAGCCTTCTCTTTGCCTGTGATGACCAAGGTGTAAAGGTACCTGCTGCAACAAACTTTAAACTTCACGTTGTCCTTGTTTTTCTTGATGTTGACAGATTTGGCATCTTTTCGCCTGGCTGTGAGCAGGAGGTCCTTGATTTCCTCAGTTTTTCAAGGCATGGCGAAGAGGTGTGGAGAATGCACAGCCGGCCCCTCCAATTATTCCACCTATTCCCTGTGTACCACCTAAGAGCCACTTACAGCAAGCCAGATTTTATTTATTTATTTGTAGAGAGGGGAAAGGAGGGAAAAGAGAGGGAGAGAAACTTCAGTGTGTGGTTGCCTCTCAAGTGCCCCCTACTGGGGACCTGGCTTGCAACCCATGTGCCCTGACTGGCCTGCATGTGCCCTGACTGGGAATCAAACCAGCCTCCCTTTGATTCGTAGGCCAGCACTCAACTGTCAGGATGGGCGGGGTAGTACAAAATGGCAGCTGAACACAGAAAGATGGCTGACGTCAAACCAGAGAGCCGAAAGGGCCAGCTTTGCCAAAATGGATATCCGCATAGCAACCTGAGCCTGAGGGGAACCACCAATGATATATTGCTGCTTTGTTCAAAGGGGACCAATCCCCAGCTCCCATGAAGAGAGCCAACCAAAATAAAACCCTGCCATATTCCCTGCTTGGGCGTGACTTCTCCGACCCCACTCTGCAGACAGGAGAACCTCGCCCCGGTCTGCAAACTCCAATAAAGCTCTATACTGCCTAACTTTGTGGCTGATTGGCATTTCTTCCTTGGCGGAGCCTAAGAAAACCTTTCATCAACCACTGAGCCACACCAGCCAGGACTACTTAAAATCTTTTAATTACTTCTCATTTCTCTGCAACAAAATTCTGACATTTTACTGTAACCTGCTGAATCTTGCATGATCTGACCTCTGCTTACTTTTCTAAGCTCCTCTCGTGCCACCATATGCAAACTGTGCTCCAGTGATAGCAAACTTGGATTGTGTGCTCTGGCCAGTGTAGCTCAGTGGATTGAGTGAGGGCCTGAGAACCAGAGGATTCCCAGTTAGGGCACATGTCTGGGTTTCAGGCCAGTTCCCAGCAGGGGACCCACGAGAGGCAACCATACATTGATATTCTCTCCCTCTCTCCTTCCCTTCCCCTCTAAAGATAAATAAAGTCTTAAAAAATTAAAAACAAAAAACAAACAAACAAACAAAAAAACCAAACTTGGATCATGTCCTGGAATTTTCCAAGCTGTTTTCTGCTTTGGGCCTTATTGCTCATTAATGCTTCTCTCTGGAATATGGTGTTCTGCAGCTCTTATAACTGGTTCCTGTTAATCCTTTGCATATCAGCTTAAATGTCAACTTTACAGAGAGCCTTCTCTGACTACTTTTTCTAAAGATATTGCTGACTTATTGTAAGAACCCCACTAATTTTGTCATGACACTTACCTAAGTCTGTAATAATTTGTTTTTTTAGTTCATTGTATATGTCCTTCATGAGGGCAGAGACTTTGTCTGTGTCAAGAACTTCCTCACCCATTGAATTAGTTCTATCTGTGCCTATGTAGGCCTAGGCCTACTTATTGAGTAGGTTCTCAATACATATTTATTAAATAAATGGATAGATGATGTGGGCTATAAATAGGGGACAGTATAATTATTATCAACTTTTCAGAGTGGAAGGAGGCACAACTACAAGTATACTTGGGATAATACGCATATACCATGAATAGAAGAAGCACTGGGTTTTCAGAAATATCAGAAGTCAAAGTGACTCTGACTTTGTACCCTACAACATTTTTATTCAGGTGATGCAAAGCTAAGATGAATACCAAGGAAAGGAAGAAGGGGTATATGCAGCGAAGGGTAGTGTAGTAGGGGGAACGGGCTGACCTTTTCATTTGCCTTGAGCTTAAATGGTAATGGTGAGTTTGGGAACCTCATATGTCTTTCTCCCTCTCTTTCTCCCTCTCTTTCTCCTTCTTCTTTACCTTTGTTTTCTTCTTCTTCCTCCCCTTCCCCTCTCCTCCCCCTCCCCTTCCATTCTTCCTCCCCTCCCCCTCCTCCTCCTCCTCCTTCTTCTTTATCTCTCTCCCTCTCTCTCTCATTTTTAAATATAGCACATCCAAGCTCTTCCCCATCAGGTACCTGTCTGAGTTACTGCCCATTTGATTGGTCCTAAGAATACTATAGAGCCCCCCAAAGTAGAGGATCTAGGGGTTGCTTGAACTTGGAATTAGAAGACCTGAGATCTATCTTAAACTTTAAGTATCCAAATGACCTTGGGTGAATTGTTTTCCCTCTTCTGAAAGGTGAGAAGATTGTAAGGGATTATTTCTAAGGTCTCCTCCTCTTCCTCTAATATTTCTTTTTTTTTTTAAATTAAAGGTTCCCTTTTCTTTTTTTTTTTTTTAAGATTTTATTTGTTTATCTTTTAGAGGGGAAAGGGGGGAGAGAGGGAGAGAAATATCAATGTATGGTTGCCTCTCACATGTCCCCTGCTGGGAACTAGCCTGCAACCCAGGCATGTGCCCTGACTGGGAATCAAACCGTGATCGTCTGGTTTGCAGGTCCGTGCTAAATCCACTGAGCTATACCAGCCAGGTTCTTCCTCTAATATTTCATAACATCTTTGGGCAAGATGTCAGGAGAGCACTGATCACCCACCACACGCAGAGTGTTGTAAGAGGCTTGCAGAGGCACTGAGAGGGGTGATATGACCCTCCTTCTGAAGAGAGTTGTCAGCCCTATTGTTGAGGTATAGAAAAATATATAATGCCTAGATATCAAAGGCAGTGATATTTGGATTCTATCAAACAAAAGTCAGGCAATCTCAAGGAGCAGATAAACCTCAAGGAGGAAGTGTTTGGGGTTGGAGAGGCTGTAGGTAGGGCAAAGATATTTCAGAGAAGGAAATGGTCTCAACTGGGATACAGACATTGCATAGGAACAATACATGCAAGGAATTGTCATAACCTGGCCTGCCTGGAACTGAGGAAGCCAGGGGTAAAATTGGAAAAGCAAGTTAGGAGCAGTTATCTCTGGGAAGGATAGTGGGCTGGGGGAAGAAGGGAATGAAGATGATTATTTAATTTTTGGCCTGTTTCTAAATTGTTTAAATTTTATGATAATATATTCATAGAACAAATTTTTTTCATTAAAAATTAATTTATTTTTTAATTGTTCAAGTAAAGTTTTCTGTCTTTTACTCCCATTCCAAAAAAATTTTTTTTAATGTTACAGTAGGACAGTATCAACTTTAGGAGACTTAAAATGTCTAGCCACCCTGGAAGTGGATGCCCGGTGTCTGATCGCGTGGTGCCTGCCAAGGGTGTCCCCTCAGAGAGCTGGACAGCTGGCCTCAAGAACAGATCAACATGCCTTTGACTAGAGATTTACTACATCCGTCCTTGGAAGAGGAAAAGAAAAACAAAAAGAAACAACTATTTCAAAGTCCAAATTCTTATTTTTTGGATGTAAAATGTCCAAGCCGCTACAAGATCACCACAGTTTTCAGCTACGCTCAGACAGTGGTTCTCTGTGTAAGTTGTTCGACAGTGTTGTGCCAGCTGACGGGAGGAAAGGCTAGACTCACGGAAGGGTGTTCATTTAGAAGAAAGCAACACAGCTTCCTGAATTTGTGTTGTATCACAGAAAGCCTTATCAGTTTGGTAATTCTACTTAATCTGCCAAGATAATGTAATTACATTTAATTTTGTAAGTATACAACAATGATTTTCTATTTTGGTGTCAGTTTTTCAATAAAGTTTTGATTGTTGGGGGGGTGGGGTGGAGTCTGGCCAGCCGTGGCCAGTATGGCTCAATGGATTGAGTGCCAGTGAACCAAAGGGTCATTGGTTCCATTCCCAGTCAGGGCACATGCATAGATTGTGGGCCAGGTCCTCAATAGGGGGCAGGTGAGAGGCAACTACACATTGATGTTTCTCTCCCCCTCTTTCTCCCTCCCTTCCTCTCTCTCTAAACATAAATAAAATCTATTAAAAAAGACAATATAATTTTTTTAATGTCTACTCAAAGAATTAGGATTTTATTTTCTAGGATTGCAATTAATTAATTAATTAATTAATTTTTAGAGCGAGGAAGAGAGGGAGAAAAACATCAGTGTGTGATTGCCTCTCAAATGCCCCCGGGCCTGCAACCCAGGCATGTGCCCTTATTGAGAATCAGACTGGTGACCCTTTGGTTTGCAGGCCAGCGCTCAATCTACCAATCCACACCAGTAGAGCACAGTTTTTAAAACAATTTTCATATATTTTTTAAAAATTGTATTTATTTTTAGAGAGAGGGGAAAGGAAGGAGAAAGAGAGGGGAAGAAATATTGATGTGTGGTTGCTTCTTGCACGCCCCGTACTGGGGACCTGGCCTGCAACCTAGGCATGTGCTCTGACCAGGAATTGAATGAGCGACCCTTTGATTCCCAGGCTGGCACTCAGTCCACTGAGCCACACCAGGCAGGGCACTTTTTTTTTTTTTTAATCAGGTCATGATGAATTGAATTATGTGGTTTGTTAGATAATATGGTAACACTGTGTTAGGTGTTGAGTTGAGAGGCAAAATACCAGTTACTGAATTTGTGTGACAGTCAGGTACAAATACAGTAGATAGCCCAGTGTGGAGGCAAAGGTAATGGAGAGGAGGGAATAGTTTAGGAGGACAAACCAAAGAAAGATGACTAAATACAACACGTTCAGCAGAGGAAGGCATCAGGGATGACCCAGAAGTAAGCCTCAGGCACTGAAAATATCATTAACCACTGATGGAAACAGAGAAGTCAGAAGAGAAAATCAATTCTGTCACTCAAGTAGAAATGGCCCATGAAATAACAGAGCCATGGTGCTTAGTGCTTGCACAAAGATGGGGATTTAGGAGTCATCAGCAGAGAAATGGGGTACAACCTTGGGGTACTAGATGATGATCTGATCAGTTGAGCTACCTGGCCAGGGTAAAACTGGAACTTTAGAGTATGTAACTTTTTCTCAGGTGAAAGCAGGGAAACAAGTGTGTCCTGATTGTCAAGTTCATATTCTTGCACCCACATCACCACAAGTCCCTAGCACAGGAGGACTGTGATGATTGAGGTCCCAGATGATGAAGCTGAGAATCAAGACTACTTGGCTGAAATGGAGGGAGTTAGAAATGAACTTGGACAAGTAGAAAATGCAAGAGGAACTCGATAGGACCATCAGAGTTCTGTGACAGCTAAGAATGGGTAGATTCTTCAGATACTTGAGGACAAAGAGGTGATGGCAGTTGAGAGGCTTGAGAAGGATTCACACCCCACAAATTCCTCATAGAAACCCAAAGGAGGTGCATTTGAAGACAGTTGAAGAAGAGTGTGAGAGAGAACTAGTGGAAAACTGGAGTAATTAGGGTTTCTTAGCTTGGAGAAAAGATGTGTTTGAAGGCCTGAATCCATGAGAAGCCCTAGAAGATTTGGTAGGCTTGAAATATAGCAGCGCTGATTCAGGTTAGACATGCAGCAAATGTCCTAATAAGCACTCCCAGGTGGGGAAGGACTGGCTTCCTTCTCCTAATGGTATTTCAGAACACTGTACAATGTACTTTTCTTTCTTCAGCTTTGAATTGGGAGATCTCCTGTTAAGAAGCAGGTGGTTGCATCAAGTGATCTATCTGGTATAGGCTGCAAGAAGTTCTTGATGATGAAATAACAAGGGATCTTCTCAGGATTACCAAGTTCGATTTAGGTCTGCAGAGGTACCTGAGGAGCTGAGAAGAACATGGTAATAAATTTGGGTACCTGATGCACCATTGGGCCTTTCCCTAACCCACATCCCACCCACCCTCCTATCCATCCATATCCCCATTTTCATTACTCATAGCTTCCCTATTCCCTCCCTGGCCAAGTTCATTCCGAAGCTTCCTACAGCCCTGGCCTCATTTCCTTAAGGCTTCCAATTGGTCATCGTGCATCACTTGTCTGATGAAAAGGGCAGCCTGACAGGGTGAGCAGAGCACCAGTCATAGACAGTGTTCAAGGCCTTAGAGCCTAGTATTACGTCTTTAGCTGTCTCGCTTGGCGATCCCGAGTGGGATAGTTTTCTCCTCTAATGCCAGCTTTCCTCCAGTATAGGGAATGCTGCAGGATTAGGTGGTTTGGAGCTCTAGTCCTACCAAATATTTTTAACCTCTTCTTTGCTCTGATCCTAGCTTTCATTTCATTTTCTCCCAATACAAACATCTAGACTCTAAGTCACTGTCTTTTGTGATCAAGAATTGTGAGTACTTTGTGATCTGGGGCTGGAAATTTGTCTTTCTCTGAATCCTGTTTTTCCTTCCTTTGTCCTCTAAAATAAACACCCCTCCTTTGTCATTCCTTTTGAAACTTTGACCTCTAATATAGACCATAATGGTTAGCCTTTTTCATTGAGCACCCCCCAGAACCAGGATTCTGCCCTCCCAAGTCAGCAGGAGTCAGGCTATCTGCTTTATCATTCTAAGGAAGGCCTTTGCAAGTCAAAAGTTAGGTTTCTTCATTCTAGAGAAGGGCTGAGAAATGTGACTCTCCTATTTACAGAAGGGGGAGGAAGAGGACACCTTTCACTGCATATGAATGGTAGTCACTCTACAAAGCTGTCAGTACTGTAAAGATTATGGCTGGAGATCCCCGGGCTCCCAGAGTGCCCTTAGTGTAAGTGGTGCATACAGAGTTTGGTAGCAGGCCTGAATTCAAATCCGTCTCTCTTGCGTTTAATTTAGGTTGGATGCTTACCTTCTCTGAGCCACTTTCCATAGCAGTAAGAGGGGGATATTTGTAACATTTTAATCAGATTGTTTTGAGGATTAAAGGAGATAATATATATTAAGTTCATGACCCTTAGGAGTTCAGTCCTTTCCTTTCCACCCTTACCTGTGTGATAACCCGCCAGCAAGCCCTGAAGAGATTTGCAGGGGGCCGTCGGAAACTCTAGGAAAAGGAGTCCTAATTCCACACACAGCAAGTCAAGTGAAAAGAAAGCAGAGGAGAAGAAGGAAAACATTTGTAGGGGCCCGGCAAGCATAATTATATTCTCCTTTTTAATCTAGACTGAGAAAACACAGGCTTTTTTCTCTAGGCAATGTGAAGCACAGTGTCTGGGTTTACTAAAATACGCGGGAATAGGCTCATGGGCATGTTTCCCTCATTGAATTGACTCCTTTTTCAGCAGATTGTGGCCAATCTCCCTGTCTTGGGTGCTGAACCTATTGAACATTGGGGTTTTACTGTTCTGTCACCTTAATGATAGCCCCCTTGTTAAGGGTGAACCAAAAGGGAAGGGGTGCAGGGTGGTAACTAATGAATCTGAATGGCACTGTAATGCCTTGGAATGAATCCCTGACAGGAAGGTGATGGATGTAGAGAAATTCAAATTCCTTTAGTTTCTGGGCCAGGGTCTGTGTGAGAGGATTGGTTGATGTGATTGATTGCCACGAGGGTAAGATGAATGAGGCTTGGAAGGAGTGGGACTATGGGCTTTTGGGGGAAGTTGACAAACTTTTCATGGAATTTCCAACTGCTCTGGGTTTCATTAGTGAAAATCTCAGATATAAATCCACAGAAAACACAAGGTATCTTATTCTTGAATGACAGTTTGGACAGGGCAGCAGGGATGGTTTTGTTTTTGAAAATCCCCCCTAAGATAATTTGGGAATGTCAGCAAGGTCCTGGGGAAAATGTCAAAGCAGCAGGTAGGTACCTAGGTTATTTGGACGGAGATTTAGTTCAGAATAAAGGGAGAAAACCCAGGTTGTTCATTTCCCTCACACAGCATCACAACTCAGGTGTCATGATGGGTGCTTTGGCACCTATTTACTGAGGGTTTAACTTCAAGACCAGATACCTTTATGTGTTTTTATTTCTCGGAGTCACAAAGGAAACAATCTTTTGGTTGTCTGTTTTTTCACCACAGTTCTGTGCTTATATAGCATCTCTTCCATTCCCTCATCTCCTACCTCTACACACACACACCCCACATTTCCTTTCCGTTGCTAACTGTAGTGTGCTTTTGTACCTTCCTTAAAATGAGGGAGGTAGAGGGAATGTTCCACTTTTTTGACACAGGTTAAATTTTTATGAATTTCTTCTAGTCTCTGGTGTCTGTGGTTTTTAAAAACACCAGAGTGGACTCTCAAGGCATCTGCTTATGGTTTCTCTTGAGACACCAACTTTCTCAATGAACATTTCACCTTCCTTTTCACTAAAAAACATAATGCTTGGTTATTTCCTGTTGGTATTTTAAAAAATAATTAATGCTTGGGCTTTGCAAAGAGGAGAGCCCCTCCCCCCATCCAGGTTGAAATGCTCAGATTTAGGAGACCAATAGCCGAGTCCCCAGGGTCTTTTTGGGGAAACTACTCCTCCCCCAGAGATTGCCAGTGGAAGTTGTAGAAGTGCAAATGAGGAAGGTAGAATCCACAACTTTCCTAGTTTCTTGCCCTGGGGCCCAGGTCCTTGGTGTACAGACTCCCCAGGAAGCCCAAGTTAAGAGAGTAAACACACTTCTAATATGGTTCAAGTTCAAAGGGCTTCCTTGTTCCTCAAGTTGCTTTGGTTGCATTAAAATAAGACCTTTTAAATCTGGGAGTCTGGATTGTTTTCCTCTTGGCCAGTTCCTTAGTTTCAGTTTTATTATCTGTCGAATACTGACATCAGGGGCTTGGATAGTCCCAGTTTCTCCCTTAGCCCTTGTGCATAATTGGAACACAGAAGCAGGGTTTCCTATTCCTTTTCTGATCCTAAGTTTTCCAAAGAGAGAAATAAAAGGTCTCAGCTGGATATACATTCTAGAAGCATTTATTACAAAATAAAGTTCAGTTTCCAGTTTGGGAAAATAACAAAATAGTCGTTTTACAGCTCTTTGCAGGTAAATCTCTCTGGGGTCTGGATAAGTTGTTGTCACCTGGGACTGGGTGTCTGTCTGTCTACTGGGACACTGGTACCATTATTACTTCTCCGTGGCCCCAGAGATGGTTTCTGAGCTGGAAAAGTCCTCAGGTTATGTTGGCTCCTGGTTTCCCCCAGGTTGGGTGGGAAGAATTTTTCAAAAGTGCATTCATTACTCAGGTGAAAAACTCAACACCCCGAAAGCCTCCCACTCACTAGGCAGGTATCTGTCTCTGCCCACTCATCTGCATGAAGTTTCATCTGCATGAAGTTTGGAGCCAGTCAGAATATGGGGAAGTTGCTCCTTTGGGAATCTGGACAGAACTCTTTCATTTTTTGCTTCCATTCATTCTGATTCTTCAGCGCAGCTGTGTTGAATGTGGTCTGAAACTTGCAGAGAACAGTATTTGAAGGTCCTTCTGGATATGGATTCCAAACCAAACCAGCTGCAGAAGTACAGATATAAAGATCAGGAAGTAACTTGTAGGAAGAAGAAATGTGCTGTGCCCAGATAAGGAGGCCCAGGTTCCAAATTCAGCTCTGTCAAGAATATGCTGTATAGTCTTGAGCCTCAATTTTCCCATGTATAACAGATATCAAGAGGACTACAGGCCAACCCTGGGATTTTCCAACTGTCATCCAATCTACTTTCTCCAACAGAGAAGCTGTGTCCCCCTCCATTGTCATTCAGTTGAGCAATAATTTTGTGTGGGCGTTATCGGGTGCTACCTTTGCCTAGGGGCCAAGTACGGACTGGGGAGAGTGTGCAATAGTACTTGTTCACCACATGCCTACACTGGTCACACTTGACTGTACAGCACCACTGAAATTTGCAGTTACAGCTGCTGATGGCCTCAGTTCTCCTTTCTTCCACCTGCAGGCCACACTCAGTGCACAGGCGCCCGCAGCTGTGTCGTTCCCACCTGGATGTGTTGTGGCTGTTGTGCAGACACTCCCGACCCTCTGTGCCATAGACACCCAGGGTGGAATTGCGGATGCAGTAATCTGGTGACTCCTCTAAAAAGATCAGCTCAGCCTCTGCACTAGGAAGGAAGGCCTCAGTGGGTGCCCAGTGGCCCTCGGCACTGTTTCCAGCCCTTAGCTGCTGCTTATCCATCTCAATTTTCAGTGCCCGGTCATACTTGGCCTTTAGGTAGTCCCCCATCTCCCGGAAGTCAGCCAGCTGCAGCCAGCATGTCTGGATGCTGCAGCTCCCTGAGATGCCGTGGCATTTGCAGGTCTTTTTCATGGTGGCTCTCACTGCCTTCAGAGAGAGAGAGAGAGAGAGAGAGAGAGAGAAAGAGAACAAATGAGAGAATAGCTCTGGGTAGGGAAGACCAAAAATTAGCAATTAAATAGAATATTTTAGAGTTGTGCTTCTTAACTTTGGAGGAACATCAGAATTACTTGGGGAAGGCCGTGAAAAATATTTATTCCTGGGTCCTTCTTCAGATCTTATCAATTAGAGTGTTCAAGGGTTTCAGGACCTTGGTACTGGTTATTTTAAAGCTCCCCTGGGAAATTCTTAAGGAAAGCCAGACAAGTGTTGAAAAGGTTACTGGAGTCAAGAAACCTAGGCTCCAGGACCAAACTTCATCACTTGTTGAGCTTGTAGCTTTATTTGTCTAATTGGAATAAGGATGATCAAGGAAGTACTGGTAAATTATAGAGAAAAATATGGTCATTGGCACTGTTAATGTTTTGAAGTTGGGGGATAGAGTATTTGTGAGGAGCTGGATTTGTGCTCTGGACCCTCTCCCAGAGGGAAGGAAGTTCCTGGAGTTGGAACCCCCCTACCCCAAAGCAATTACCCATAGTTGTAGTTGCTTTGAAGACATCTTCCTTTTGCCCCGGGCAACCAGAACATCTAAATATATGCTCAAAGGGAAATTTCTATGCTCTTAGCTCTAAATCCAACTTGCTGCCAGATCTGAGATCAGAATACTCCAGGGATTGCCACCCCACCAGAAGTCTTAGCAGAGAATAAACCCTCCAGAGAAACCTAGGTCAGTCCCAATCCCTTGAAGCCCAGACAGACCTTAAGACAGGGGCTGGATGATAAGCCAGGGGCTAGAACATGCAGTTGAAAGGGTTAAAAATTTAAGTCATGGAAGCAAGGCCTGTGGAGGTGCCAGAGCACAAGGGTGAGTGATAAGGGGACTAGAGTAGAAGATCTGAGTTCACTGTCTGGCTATGATGTTTGTTAGTTCATTGTATTGTCTTGGCTAAGCCACTTGGCTTGACCTTAACTGCTTTGTCATCCAGAGAGTGGGGGAGTCATCCCAGTCCTGCTGAGTGGTGTAAGGATGAAACTTGGATAGGAGATAGCTCTTGTAAGCTGCGAAGGGCTGTACAGATATGAAGCTGTTGCCAATACCGAGCCTGATGGCTGACTGGCCAATTCCTATACCCACCAGCCTGCCCGCCCTGTTGTTGTGAAGGTTCATCAGGGCTCTGGCATCCTTTCCCTTCTCCAGGCTGTCCACGAAGAGTTTGGAGATCCTTTCCCCAAATTCTACATTGTCGCTGCAGCCTCCCCAGATCCAGCCATGGCCTCCTACACATAAGAACAGAGTAAGTTCTACAAACAGTTCCCTACTAAGTCCCAGGAGAAAAGCCATGTATGGTCATGTCGGCTGGCGTGGCCAAGCCATTCCCATGTGCTCTAGAATCATGTAAAGCTGCAGCTAAAGGTGAGACAGAGAAATGTCTGTCTGAGATGTGTTGTTCTCTCAAGACGTATTGTTCCCCTACTTGGGGTGGGGCAGGGGAATCCTGTTCCCAAAGCCAACTGTCCACACTTCAGGTACTTCCCAGCTCTCAGCAATTAGCCTTTATACCCACAGTGAAAGCAGACACACTGAGGATGGCCTAGCCGTCACTGAAGATGACCTCAAAGGTTCATCTTAGGTCAGACATTCTGGACTTCTGCACCATTGTCCTTTAATGGTCTTGTTAGAGTCGCCTCTTCCCTTATCAGTGACAAATCTGAGTAAGTCTTAGGTGACAAATACTTGAGTGCTCTGGATTATGGACAAGCCATTTTAACCCTGATATGAGAGTTAGCTTTAAACTGTTTCTGGCTTCATCATTTATAGATGCCTTGTTTTAGAGCTCTGTGCTACGTGCTGTTCCTGGAATCACGGACCCCAGCTCAGCTCTCAGGAGAGTCTAGGTCCAGGACCTCCCACCCATGAAGTTGCTCTTGGAGTCCAGGGGTTTGAGGGAGCTGGAGCTGTGCCCCTCAGCCTTTCCCTGGAAGACTTTAGTCTGCACGTAGCTCTGCACTCTTCACCTGTTCCTCTCATCTAGGAGCCCAGCTTACCTGTTTTCCCATTTTTTGACTCATCACAGCCACAGTTTTCAAAGTCGCCCATGCTGCAGTTCTTGGTGATGGTATGCATGACTCCAGCAGAGCTGATAGCATGAATAAATGCAGTCTCCCGGGTGGCTTTGGAGAGAGAAAGGGAACTGGGAACGAGGCCTCTGATGACCCAAAGCAGAGGCTCTGGAGAAGCAATGCTGTTTCTCTCCCTGGTCCCCTGCCCCCTTTGGGTTTAAGAGGATGTTCTTATACTTGAGAGAACAACATGTATCACCTTACTTCATCTTTACTTTGTTCAGGCAGGAATGAGCATCCCCATGCTACAGAGAGGGAAGGAATGTAAAACCCAGAGACAGAGCAATGAGACTAAGGCCACGTTCCCCTCCAGCTGTGTATGGTGTTGGGGCCAGGACTCTTGTCTCCTGAAGTCCAGCCTAGGCCTCTGGTCATTAGCCACTGCTTTTGGTGAGAACTTAGGGCCACGAGGCCATCTTAGGAAAAACAAAAGGGCCTTTTCTTCTTTCTGACATGAAACTAGAACTATGTAATAATCATAATGATCATGGCTCCCATGTACTAAGCTTGAATCTTCTTAAACTCTTTATAAACATTGTCCTGTTTCATTTCCACATACTCCTATTTTTCTGTATAACCCACAGAGATATTTCTTTTTGTCTCCATCTTCTTTACTCCTTCCCCCAACTCTTTTTAGGCAGCTCTTTATGGTTCCAGTGTAAAGGACTTTTATGCAAACTGCTACACATACTTACAAATACCCCCGGCCCCATGCATGCACCTGAGGCACATACCCCACCTGAGGCACAGCTCAGTGTGATCTCTCAGCTCCTCAGCTGTTAGGGTTTTTTGACAGCTGGGCAGATGGGAAACTCCTTCAGAGGCTGCACACACAGAGCCTTTTCCCCATTTCTATTTCATCCAAATCAGTGTAAGATAAGTATGTACAAATATCACAGGCATGCACTAAACAAATAGAATAATTACTGCATTTGTATGGAAACACCTTTGTATTTACCTCATTCAACCCTTACAATATCACTGGTGAGATAAACAGAGCTGGCCTTATGACAAAATGACAAAACTGGGGTTGACAGAGGGAAAGTGATTCTCTCAAGGTTACACAGACAAGAGGTGGCGGGTCAGCAGATCACAGATAACTTTTTTATTTCACTGTGCACATATATGCTACACACTCACACATATTACAAGCCCATCTCCATGCACATATACCCCGTTGTACAGGTGCACAAACTTACCACTTCTCAGCCTGTTATGAGTAGACAGCTGGAGAGCATTTTCAGGGCAGTTCCAGCGTTCCCAAGCAAATTGGAACTTACACTCCTCAATGCCACTCTGGGCACCCAGGGCCACACTGGTAGTGTAGGTCAGATAGGCCTTGCCAAGGGAAAAGGACTGAGTTCAGCCCTGGCTCAGATCAGGTTGTCATGTCAAATCAGGAGTGTGGGGAGCAGGACTTAAATGGGTTAGCTGTCCATTAAGGAACCCATGGGTTCCTCTGGGTGAGGGACTTCTGGCACTGTCTCCCCTCCCCTCTTTTCCTTCTCCAGAAGAATTCCCTTGGGAAGCCGGGTGGGGAAAACAGAAGCCAGGGACATCCTACCTTGGGACCTGTTATGAGGAAATTGTTCACTGACCTTCAGAAAAGAGAAAAAGCGAGGCATTGGTGAACAGGGCTGAGATGATGAGGGCTTCCTTGCCAGGGAGGAAAGGGTTGGGGGAAGCACTTACCAGGCAGAGACACTGAAGGTGGCACAGCATATGCCCACAGCCACCCTGAGCATAAACAGATCTCCCATGGCCCTGCCCACCCGTAGGGGACCAGACTCAGCCCAGGGACAAATCCAGAGAAAAAGTGAGGAGGGGCAGGGTCTTTGTCAGTATTTATGTGGGGAAATTCTGAATGGCCAAGGGGGAAAAATCAACAGCTCTTCTCATTTGTCCCTCACTGGCAGGGCTGCTGGAGCCATTGACCCAATGGGGGACCAGGGAGGAGGGACTCAGCCCAAAGCCTCAAGAAAAGTCCCGCCCCACCTCGCCCTTCCAGCCCTTCTCCCCTCCCAGGCTGACAGAGGGTCTGAAGTCTTTCCATACCCTGGAGGTATCTTTCCTCTACAAGTCAGACTTATGTCTCTTCTTGCTTGAGGGCTCATTTCTCAGAAGCTTGTAGCCTGAAGCAGGAGAGGTTCCTAACCCTGAAAGGATGTCACCTGTCCTTTGCAGCTGCAGTGTCCTTATCTGTCAATGAAACCCCACCCCTTGCTCAGCCTTTATCTCTAAGGTGTTAATAATTATGTAGGGAACCTATGTAGGGAGGTGCACTGTTTCTACCTCCTCCCTTGGTGACCATGAAGCAGAAAACACTTCAGAGGTCATCTCTGCAACAGTGCCTTCTAGCACATTCTACCAAAGTAAGTTCTCATAAATTTCTTTCATTCCTAATAGTCTATCATTTTATACTTGAGCATTAGATCTCCAGTTTGTTAGCTGCTTGTGTATGTGGGAATCAATCTTTGGGCACCCAGGCCTGTGTTTGAAAAGACTGGTGGCTTTCTGTTTTATACCACTTTGTTTCAAGGGCATCAGCCTTTTAGGCAGGAATCTGTTTTTTATTTTTTATTTATTTAAAAAATATTTTATTTACTTATCTTTAGAGGGGAAGGGAAGGAGAGAGGGAGAGAAATATCAATGTGTGGTTGCCTCTCATGTATCCCCCTCTGGGAACTGGCGTGCAACCCAGGCATGTTCCCTGACTGGGAATCGAACCGAGATCATCTGGTTCACAGGCCTGCGCTCAATCCACTGAGCTACACTCACCAGGGCAGGAATCTGTCTTTTAGATTCACTTCGTATTTGTAGTGCTTAAGAAGATGCCTAGATGGATGAACAAATGATAGAATGAGTGATTTTGCCTGCTAGTAGGAACCTGAGGCATTGTTAGGTAGGATTGAAGATTATGGTGAAGGAGTAGAGATCTTCCTTAGCTGGTGAAGCAATTCCCTAAGGCTGGGGTTCAGAGGGAAGTACAAGCGGGAAGTCAGAGTCCTGACTCAGTACCGTTTGACTGTGGGTTTCCAGGTCACTTCCCAGCACCCCAGACCTGATTTGGATGAGAAACAGAGCTTAGGCTTCCACTCACCCGATGGGTATCGGGGTGAAGGAGTCCCCAGGCCTTTTTAGGGCAATTCGAAGTGTGAGTTAGGATCGGTGTCAGTCTGCAAATTGTTGTCCTTCTGAAAAAGTAAGTGCAGAAATGAAAATGTTTAGACATTTTTATAACTATTTGATGGAATAATTTTAGATATGTTGAATATAACAAGAAATTTGGGCTCCTATTTTTTTTATGCCTTTTTTTAAATTTCATTTTTCTGGAAGCATAGGTACTAATGTCACAAATGCCAAATGTGCTTAATGGGCTAAAGCTCTGCCTCAGCCCAACAAACGCTTCCTCTGCTTGCTTCCTCGGCTTCTCTCCTTGGGAAAAAGAGGCATTGGGGGCTTGAGTCACTTGGGAAAAAAGCACACTGAGTTTGTCCAAGTCGCCTTTCCTCTGTTTCCTACTAGTTCCGATCAAGAATCTAATTTTAGCTTCCACTTCTTAAGACAGCAGGGTTGATTTCCATGCTACTCACTGTGGGGTCAGATCAGGGCTCGTGTTAGCCCTAAGGAAGTCCCCTCCCACCCCCTGAAAGAGTTTTAGGAGTGACTCCAAATTCACTTCCTGTTTGATTGACTGAGTCTTATTCCTCTTTGTCCCTCATGGCACCCGGCATTTAGTTGGTACTCTATAAAAACCTTCCCTTATCTTCTAGGAAGCAGAGGGGAAGTTAGTGTGCTTTTCTTTGTGTGCTTGATCCTGCTCAGATTCTCTAAAGATCATATAATTTCTTTAAAAGGAACTTAAGCCCTGGCTGGTGTAGCTCAGTGGATTGGGTTCAGGCCCATGGAGCAGGGGGTTGCTGGTTCGATTCCCAGTCAGGGCGCATGCCTGGGTTGCAGGCCGGGTCCCCAGTGGGGGACACGTGAGAGGCGGCCACACACTGATGTTTCTCTCCCTCCCTATCTCCCTGTCCTCTCTCTCTAAAAATAAATAAATAAAAATATTTTTAAAATAAATAAATAAAAGGAACTTAAGATGTTAAGGAAAGGCCATTGCTCCAGGTATGGGGAGTCCTGGACTTTGGCCCCTAACCTGTTGAGTGACCTTGGGCCAGTTATTAACTACTAAATGGACTCAGTGTCTTCATCTGTAAAATGAGGGAGTAGGGAAGAGGTTGAATGTTGAATGACCTCTAAACATTTTCCCAACTCTTTTGAATGCTTCAATCCTAATTTTAAGATTTGCAGCATCTCTTAATCTCACAGGTAATTGTAGATCAGAAATAGGTAACTGTTGCCTTCCCTACCTGTCAGCAGGGGAATCATCTTAGTTATCTTCGAATCCTTCAGTTGGCCATCAAGATAGAGCCGTAAGATAGACACCTGGAGGACAACCAGTGCCTCCTTCAGAGTCCTTTCCAGCTCTGTCTACATAGGACATCTGGGCTGGACTGGCCACAGTCCTTCACTGTGGACACAAGTTTCTTGGTAGGAGAGAAGAGCCAGAGAAAGGCACTCGCTCCACCCTAGCCTACAAATCATTTGCAGTCCACCTGTGCATCCATTTCCTTAACCCCAGATCTATTATCCCATTAGTTTCTAATGATGATAGAACTTTTGGTTTCTCTCTTTCCAGAATGGAAATCTGGAATGAAGACTACAGCAGAAGATGACAATAGAGACAGAGTGGGCCTGTGACAGGACAGACAAAATAGTGTCCCTGAACCAGTGGTGTGCTGGTAGATTTCAGCAACCAGCTTTGGTGTGGCAGAAGCCATAATTGGTAGTGTTTGCTGATTTTCATGGTTTAAATACTTTCACCATGGCCAATTTCAAATTACCAACGTGGACTTGGGAAGAGATGAGCAGTAGCACATCATCCATCATACAGTATTTCTGTCATAAAAATAGAAACAACAAGTGTAAATAACCTTGAGTATAGCTAATAGTAAGATGTCAAATAACTAGGAAATGATGAATTTTGAGTACTTATCTTTGTTTTTAATATGATTTATTTCATTGTAGATTTATATAATTTAATTTTTAATAACAACCATTTTTCAAAAATTTATTTAATTGTCATTCAAGTACAGTAACAACTATGTTTAACAACCATTTAAAAAATTCTGGAAAATTTAAGTCAGTTTTCTAAGCCAGGAACCATCTTCAAGCAAACCATTAGAACCTTGTGTTTTGCCTCTAGGCCACTGGGAGATAAAATGCAAACTACATTGTGGACTTTAACACAAAATGCATTTTTTTGTTCCAATCAGGTATAAGGCTTTAAGTCTTGCTGAGCCATAGGTCTTGCTACCTGCCCTCAAGGAGCTTAGGATCCAGTAAGTAGGAGGTAATGTGTGTCTAACTATAATGTAGGGTAGAAGATGGTAAGTAGAATACAATAAATAAATACAGGTACGTACGGAAAGGTATTCATGGAGCTAGAAAGGAGGTGGGACCAGATCAAAAGAATCTGGGAAGGGACGAATTCCCTTCCACCTTCAATATTGAGAATGTTGAGATTCCAGGAGTCCTAAGGAAGCACTGGGGGTTTCCTGTGGTGTGGGACTCTTGGTGCTTAAACCAGGACAGTCTCGGCAAACCAGGATGGTTGGTCACTCTGTGATGACGACAGTGTGCATCCCAGGCCAACACTTTTTTCCAAATGTGCGCTTTCACTAAACTCCCCAAATCCATGTTCTCCCACTTTTCTTTTCCAGGCTTCTTCCAGGGCTCTGAGCCTACAGGGGCTACTTCCACAGTAGAGCAATTTGGGAGAAGTTGCGGAGTAGAAGGGTGGAGGGTGGCTGGAGAATGCCAGAAGAGAGAGATAGGATTTCTGACTTTTGACACTCCTCTGCTAATTAGATAAGGAGGGTGGGAAGGGGGAGATTGTGCCCCCGTGCATATTCCCCTGAGCTGTGACACTGAGCAGAGCTCAGGGACTCTCCATCTCTGGTCTTACCCCTCCTCCCTGGAAGCTTGTCTCTTCCCGCCCCCTGGGGATACTTGACTCCCGGTCCAAATGCCACAGCTGCTTGAGCTCCTGACCCTCCCTTTGGCCCTCAATTTAGTCTCAGTGACTTGCAAACTTCCTCAACAACATGCCCAGAGAAGGAAGAGGAGAATACTTTGGTTTCCCTCTCAGACCTGGGGTTCCTTGTGAGGGGAGGAGATGAGGCCCTCCTGAGTGGAAAAGGGAGCAGTTGGTGGTCTGTTGAACGCATGGGCCTGTGAGAGCTGGGGTACCTTCAGGAGGGTAGGTCTGCAAGCCATGACTAGATTTGTTTCATGTTGGAAGGTGTGTTTCTGTCATCAATCTGGAAGCTCCCAAAGGCTAGTCCTTGTCAATCCCTAGTACACGAGGCTCTTTCCAAGGAGAGCAGCATATTTTTCTCATCGGAATGAGATGCCCAGGTGGCAGAAGCTCCATCTTCACCATTAGCCTAAGGAGGCGTGGAGCTGGAGGGGTTCCTCCAGTCAGACTCCCATTTCAGTCGGCACAAAGCCCCTTGCTTATATCTTTCATTCTTTCACCTTTCTAAACACCCATCTCTGGATACGTGGCAGGGCACAGAAATGCCCTATTAATCTTTCTCTTTTTTTCCCCAATTAACCTTTCTTAATTGAGCATTGGGAAAGAAAGTATGGAGATAATTGTGGGATTTTATTAGTTTTCAGAGAAATATACATCCATTTA